GAGCTTAATCACATAAAAGTCGACTTCAAAAATCTCTAGGTATTTAGTGCATAGTTTAGTGCAGTGCTTCTTAACCACGTCCCTGGAGGAGCACCAGCTCTCCACATTATCCATGTCTACCGAAACACAGCTGACTCAGATCATCAGCTCATTAGCAGAGACTGAAGGAGCTGTATGGGTGTGACAGAGAAAGGAGACATCCAAAACATGCAGTGCTGGTGCTCCTCCAGGAACGTGGTTGAGAAACACTTCTCTAATGTGTCATGCGAAGAAAGTAAATTGATTCATACTATAGTTCCCCCATCTATACGGCCAGATCTATATAGATAGACCTCTTTTCTTGTGTATTTATACATGGAAACAGTTTTTTTTATATATATATATATAGAGATATATGTATATTTATTTTAGTCTTTTATTTTTTTTTTTTTTATATATATTTATTATATATATATATATATATATATATATATATATATATATATATATATATATATATATATATATATATATATATATATATATATATATATATATATATATATATATATATATTTAATGGCGATGCACCTGACTTTAGATTAAAGTGTCTTAAGATATATAAATTAAATATATAAATTAAATATAAACATTTCACAGCTATTTCAGCAACAACATCTATCTTTTATTATTATTCAGAGAGTAAATTTTCATTAAATTATTTACAACAATTAACAGATTTTTCTTAAAAATTGCTGAAATTTAAATAAATAAACAAATAGATTAGTTATTAAACGTATGTAAGTTAATATGCATTTTTTGGCTTGTTTTTTTTATAATTTAATTTAAACTAAATTTAAAAAAGTTGCAAAGTCAACATTTTATCTATCGTAAACAAATCCCTTAATTACAATGCAACTGACTTGAGATAAAAGCACTTTAGGATATAAAATGTATATATAGATATATAATGTAACGTCATTTCAGCAATGTCTATATCCATGAAAAAAAGGGTTTTATTATTATTATTCAGTCAGTAAAATTTAAATAAAACATTTTTAAGAATTTACCAATGTTTTCTTAAAAATAGCTGAAATGAAAATTTCAGAAAGAAAGAAAGAAAACAAGTTTATATTCATTTTTATTTTTGTTTTGGTACTTCAATTTAAACTAAATGAAAATAAAAAATGTTCCATAGTTAACATTTTATTCATATAAATATATCCCTTAATTGCAATAGAACTTCAGTTAAAATCAAGATTACATCATAGCCATGAAATAAAAAAAATAAATACATATACATATCTATATATATATCTATATCTATCTATATATATATATATCTATATATATCTATCTATCTATCTATCTATATATATATATATATATATATATATATATATATATATATATATATATATATATATATATAGATATATATATATATATATATATATATATATATATATATATATATAAAAAGGTTGCACAGTTAACATTTAATCTATATAAATGGATGGCAACTGACTTTAGAGAAAAGCATCTGTGAAGTGACTAAATATAAAATGTGAATAATTGCATGTGTAAAAGAATAAATCTGCATTAGTTGTGAACAATGTTACTGACGTCTTTGGTTTGTGTCTGGGCTGCTGAAGCACAGCTCTGCCGGAGCTCAGTCCTCTCTTCTGCAGCGCTCGTCTGGCTGAATCTCTGTGTTTCTCTGAAAATCACACACATGATCAACATCATTAACACACTGCTTCAGTCACACACATGATCACAGCCTGCATTATTCACAAAACACCTTACAGGAGGGCGAATCATAATGCCCTCAAGCTTTCAGACTTCTCTATAATCCCTTGTAAAGTTAGTCCTTTACTAAGAAACGTATAAAAAGAGAAAATACAAAAATTAACAAATAAGTAGGTGCAAAACAATTTTGCATTTTAAAAGGAGAAAGATGAATCCTCAAAATTAAATCTGAAGAGGCGAGTGTAAAACATCCAGCATGTTCCATCTTAGCAGCTTTGTAAACAATCATTCATTCATTTACCTACGGCTTAGTATCTTATTTATCAAAGGTTGCCACAGAGGAATGAACCGCCAACTATTTCAACATTTGTTTTACACAGTGGATGCCCAACCAGCTGCAACCCAGTAATGGGAAACACCCATACACACTCATTCTCTCACACACTAGAGCCAACGTAGTTCATCAATTCTCCTATGGCGCATGTTTTTGGACTGTGGGGGAAGCACCCGGAGGAAACCCACGCCAACACGGGGAGAACATGCAAACTCCACACGGAAACACCACCAGACCCAGCTGGGACTTGAACCAGACACCTTCTTGCTGCGAGGCCACTGAGCCACCCTGTTTAGAATAGAATGATTCCTGATGTGTTCTACCGCTGTCTGGTCAGGACTCACGCAGTCTGGTGTGGAGAGCAGGGGTTTTGGACATGATGTAGGGCCCTCTTTTCTCCACCTCTCGAACCCGATCATCTGCTGCAGGATGCAGATCGCTGACCTCAGACCTCTGCGAAGAAAAACAGACATTCAGGAGAAACAACAACCAGGATCAGACACAGATAAAGCACAGATGTCATATTATTCTATCATTTATTTTTAATTTCTGCAGGTTTTCTGCAGCATTCACCAAGTCAGATTTATAGTGCTCCTGTTTTATATAGGATAATCAGAAAGCAGTGACAGAGACCGGTGGAAATGAAGCAGAGATCCAGTCAAAAATACCACGTAAGGTTATTTGATGCATTTGTGATGGAGTTTATGCAAGCATTTGTGCAACGATGTCACACACAAATGCCTAGGCCTGTCACAATAATCAATATATGGACTTATCAGACAACACATGGACATGAGCGCAATCATTTTTGGTGATGCAACATACACTCACCGGCCACTTTATTAGGTACAACTGTCTAACTGCTCGCTGACACAAATGTCTAATCAGCCAATCACATGGCAGCAGCTCAATGCATTTAGGCATGTAGACATGGGCAAGACCATCTGCTGCAGTTCAAACTGAGCATCAGAATGGGGAAGAAAGGGGATTTAAGTGACTTTGAACGTGGCATGGTTGTTGCTGCCAGACGGGCTGCTCTGAGTATTTCAGAAACTGCTGATCTACTGGGATTTTCACGCACAACCATCTCTAGGGTTTACAGAGAATGCTCCGACAAAGAGGAAATACGCCACAGCCTACCTGAGTATTGTTGCTGACCATGTCCATCCCTTTATGAGCACGTATATACCACGAAGGATTAAGGCAGTTCTGAAGGCAAAAGGGGGTCCAACCCGGTAAAAGTGAGGTGTACTCAATAAAGTGGCCGGTGAATGTATATACCTTTTCTTGTGTGTCAAAAATCCTTTATTCAAAAAGTAAAGATCATGCTCCTTAAAGACGTTTAGTACATTTCCAACCCTATGTATATAATAAAACTTAACTTTTAATCAATAATATGCATTGCTAAGAACTTAATTTGGGCCATTTTAAAGGTGTTTTTTTAACCAATATTCTGATTATCTTGAACTCCCAGATTAAAGATTTTCAGACATTAGCATTCCAATTATTGTCCAATCATAACAAACCATACATCAAATGGCTCATGGCTCAGTGGTTAGCACTGTCGCCTCACAGCAAGAAGGTCGCTGGTTCGAGTCTCCGCTGGGTTAGTTGGTGTTTCTGTGTGGAGTTTGCATGTTCTCCCCCTGTTGGTGTGGGTTTCCTCCGGGTGCTCCGGTTTCCCCTACAGTCCAAACGCATGCACTATAGGGGAACTGATGAACTAAACTGGCAGTAGTGTATGAGTGTGTGTGAGAATGAGTGTGTGTGGGTGTTTCCCAATACTGGGTTGCAGCAGGAAGGGCATCCATTGGCTAAAACATATGCTGGAATAGCTAGTGGCTCATTCCGCTGTGGTGATCCCTGATAAATAAGGGACTAAGCCGACGGATATAATATTAATTTCCCAAATACAACCCCTTAAGAGTCTGGTTTGCACTTCAGGGTCACATACGATGATGTGCAGCTCATAATTAAATCAGCCAGAATATTCAAAGCCCATTAACGTAATTAAATCTACATACATTACAGACACACACTAGCTTGTAAACACAACACCGAGAAATCTCTGAATTCTCCACTAAAACACAGATGACACAACACAAACACATGTCATTTCTCCTCCAGAACACATAATCTAATGCTAAGCGAGTGCTGTGTGTGTTTGCTGATCATTACTGTAGTTTAATCCATCATTAGATGCGAGTTTGCTAATATTTAAGAGCTGTTTTCATCATTACCTCAGCCGCGGATGGAGACTCGCGCTCGGACAGAAGAGTTCGCTGCTCCCGGCTCTCCATCATGGGGCTTCGACAAAGTTGAAATCAGAGTTTAAACCAGAAATCATCTCCTAATTCACACCGTCTGAACTCATGCTAGCAGATTTCGAGCACTCCTCTGTAAACAGAGCTGCTTCTTCTTCGGCTGACATCGGTTCAGTTGATTGTGAGCACTTCCGCCACAAACAGGCGCTCGCGAGTTACTGCACATAGATATATACAGTAGATATCGCATAGGGACCCTGAGCATGCGTCAATAGCGCCGCCACATTGGTACAGTGCTCCCAGGACAAATGTCATTCAACCGCACTAGTCAAGACAGTGTTATTACGTGAAGATGCGGGAATTTAGCGCTGTCTACGGGTGTAGTAACGAGCAAACAAAGCACAAAGGCAGAACATTTCATAGTGTTATTAAGTTTTTTTCTGTTTTTTGTATGTTCTGAACTTTTGTGCTAATCAGGTAACGTTATTGATGATAACAGTCACATACTGCATTCACCATACGGCAAAGCAGCTCCAACTCGCACTAAACACTCGGCTTATGCTAGTTTTGTTGAATAAAATCAGCAAACAATGCAAAAGAAATATGACAACGAGATGCTGCGCTGCCAGAAACTTGTATTATTGTCGGCTAGTGAAAGAGTTGTTCATAACGGAGATTCATTCACAAACGAATCGCTCCCTCCGTCAGTATGAGAAGTGAAAGCACGAGAGGAGCTGTGTTTCAGGACATGATTAGATCAAATTTAACAGGGAGGGTGGATAGTACATTTCTTTACACACAAACACAAGCTTTTTGTCAGGAATGCCCGTGCGATCACTGATCCATCAATGTAGAAAAGTCAGGAAAACTCCCGATCATAGATATATGTGTATATCCCTGGCTTTGGATGGCCACAGTCCTCCACTGTACCTTGATCCCGCATTCATTTCAAAGGAGCGCCATCCTGTAGCAAGATGGCTGCGCTATTGACGCATTCCGTGATAGACAGACAAATGGATGGATAGATTTGCCATAGACATATACACTAGATATCACGTACGGACCCTGAGCATGCGTCAATAGCACCGCCACATTTTTGCAGGACTCTCAGGTCATTGTCATTCAACCGCGCTAGTCAAGACTAAAGCAAATGTGTAGATGCTGGACTTTAGCGTTGCATTTTCCCCAGTTATGACTTTTTTTTGTATGTGATTGTAATCACATTTCACAAATAACTATGATTTTTATTGTTATAAAACCATATTGTACCCTTTTAGCAATTTCCCATTGAGTAAATGTAAAATAAAAATGTTTTAAATGCATTTTAAATATGGCATAACTCCATTTTGTCAAATATTAATAAAAAATAAAATCCTCAAAATTTGAAAACAAATATTTACATTGATGAAAAATCCTAATAGACTAATGTAATAGATTAAAAAGCACATTTAATATCTAAAATACCAATATTAATAGTAGATGGAACTTATTAAAATGCATTTAAATTTATAAACCATCATCATGTATGAAACTTGTGTACTTATTTAAATCAAAACAACATTAAACCATGCTCTGATAAGTATAAAAACATTACCATACAGTAACAAAATCCAACATGAACACAACTGTGTTATTCTATCAGTGTGTGTGTGTGTGTGTGTGTGTGTGTGTGTGTGTGTGTGTGTATAACCGTACAAACACTCCAGACACACAGTGAATCAGAAATTCTCTCCATCAATATTGCTTCTTTTATTATTGGTCCATAATTTATACAGGACGGGACCGAGTTTGACTTCCTGAACATCAGAGATCGAGCCGAGAGGTAGAAAAACCCCTTCAGAAAAACACTAAAAACCCTGAAAGAAAAGCAAACACATGACTTTAGCAGATTAGCACACAGGGAAAGATTATACAATGCATGAGAAAACAGTTTGCAGTCTTTTAAATAAGAATGAAATGTTGTTTTAATGGATTTATTCTGAATCATGTGACATAATAAAATTAAATAATCTTATAAAAATATATTTATAAAATAAGACAGATAAACAGACAGACAGATAGATATACAGACAGACAGACAGACAGACAGACAGACAGACAGATAGATAGATAGATAGATAGATAGATAGATAGATAGATAGATAGATAGATAGATAGATAGATAGATAGATAGATAGATAGATGGACAAACGGATGAATGGATGTATAGACAAACAGACAGACAGATAGACAGACAGATAGATAAGACAGACAGACAGACAGACAGACAGACAGATAGACGGATAGACAGACGGACAAATGGACAGACAGACGGACGGATGTATTGATAGACAGACATATAGCTAGATAGATACACAGATAGACAGACAGACAGACGGATGGATATATAGACAGACAGACAGACAGACAGACAGACAGATAGATAGACAAACGGACAGACAGACAGACAGATAGATAGACAAACGGACAGACAGACAGATGGATAGACAGACAGACGGACGGACAGATAGATAGACAGATAGACAGATAGACAGATAGATAGATAGATAGATAGATAGATAGATAGATAGATAGATAGATAGATAGATAGATAGACGGACAAACGGACAGATGGTAGGATAGATGGATATATAGACAGACAGACAGACAGATAGATGATAATCTTGTAATATTAGTTGTAAAACTCAGTGAGCTGCTCATGTTAAATTCTTAACACTTTTCCAGTCAATTGTTTGTTTTTCATGTATGAAAGGACAGAAACGCACCTCACAGAAGCGCTGCAGGCGGTCAGATTTTATCGATGCCCAGCTCCTCTGGCGTGGAGATGCCCAGCTCCTGCAGTGTGGGCTTCAGCTCCTGGATCACGTACGGGTAGATCTCCTTATGAGGACCAGACTTATCCTGACAAAACACACAACAGCAGAGCCGTGAGGATGAGCATGAGCTTAAAGGAGACGAGATATAAAGTGCGTCTCTTTTGTCTCTAGAGCAGGGGTGGGCAAACATGATCCTGGAGGGCCGGTGTGCTGTGTAGTTTAGCTCCAACACTAATCAAAAACACCTGAACATGATAATCAGTGTCTTCATGATCACTAGAAATCTATAAGCAGGAGTCCATTCTTCTTACATGGATTACTCAACTAGCTGGATTTGGATGTTGACACGATCGCATATGAAATGGCGCAGAATAGTGCATAAGTATGTTATGTGGGACACAGCTAAAGTAATTTTAAGACTTTCTAAGACCCTGAGGGCACCCTGTGCTAATTATAAAGGTTTAATTCACTTTATAGATGAAAACCCAGTGTAAAGCATCAGCTGTTCTTCTCGGTGAGTGTTTCTCACCTTGACGGCCTCTAGGATGCGGATGGCACTGGCCAGATCATTGAGCCGCCTGCAGGCCCGCAGAGCAGAGTCCAGGATCTTGGGCTCCGGAACCAGATCATACCCGATCAGAGTGTTCATCCCTGCAGAGGAGGAGCAGAGCATGAGAGAGTTAATATAATGAAATGTGTGGTTGAAGTGGTTGAGACACAACTGTGAAGCACTGTCTTCAACAATGATCATAATCAGAGATATCTCCTGATCATCAGATATTTACATAAGACGTGACAGACTTCCATCACAGAAATAAACAACACTTCACTATATACTCACATAGAAAACTGATGATTTACACTGTGATTATATTGGTAATTTTGATCAAGAGACATTACAGTACTTTACTTACAACTGGATAAATCTCATAAAAGGTGTGTGTGTGTGTGTGTGTGTGTGTGTGACCTTTGCGCAGCTCCCAGGCATCCAGGTCTGGTTTGCTGAAGTACGTCACCCAGCGGGAGTCAAACTCTTCATCTGTCTCCACTTTAGCATGGGAGTAACATCTGACAGCCAGAGGAGCTGGAGAACACAGCGAACACACATTCAGAGAGAAAATAATAATAAAGTGTGTCCATTTTCCCCATGACCACAACTCATTTCTTTAACAAGAACCATATTAAAATCCATATGTAAAAAGCACAGCCTGGAGTATTTTAATGATATACTCAATAACAATCATCTGAAATCTGTATTCTTTGTCAGTGTCCTTCAAAACACTAAGTTTTACACATCTGACAGAATATTACATTAGAAAAAACTTATTTTAATAAGCACAGACCATTATAAGTGTGCTGTTTAATTTACAACCGAGCTCTGCAGAAGAGCATCTCTGAACACACAACACAGATATACATCTGGGTGGAGTTTGCATGTTCTCCCCATGTTGGTGTGGGTTTCCTCCGGGTGCTCCGGTTACCCCCACAGTCCAAACACATGCGCTGCTCTAGGGGAATTGGGTGGGCTAAGTTGTCCGTGGTGTATGTGTGTGAATGGGAGTGTATGGGTGTTTCCCAGTGATGACTTGGAGCCAGAAGGGCATCCGCTGTGTAAAACATATGCTGGATAAGTTGGCGGTTTATTCTGCTGTGGTGACCACTGATTAATAAAGGAACTAAGCCAAAAAGAAAATAAATAAATGAACAAATAATAATAGAAAATCTTGAATCTGAGGATTAAAAAAACAAAATCTAAATATGGTGAAAAACACCTTTAATATTGTACAAATTAAGCTCTTAGCAATAAAGGATATAATCAGAAAATAAGTTTTGATATATTTAATTATGAAAATGTACAGAATGTGTTCATGTAACATTATATTTACTTAATATGCTGTTTATGTTGGTAACACTTAGGAATAATGGTTTATTAGTTAATGTTAGTTTAGGTATTTACTAATATTAACCAAGTAGGAAAAATCTTAAAAAGAATTTATTAATCACAGTTTAACATTTAAAAATGCACTATTAAAATTAAAAGTAGTGCTTGTTAACATTAGTCAACATGAACTTGCAGTATTATACTTAATACCATTAGCCAACGTTAACAAAGATGAACAAATACTATAACAAATGTATTATTGTTTGTTCATGTTAGTAAATGCATTAACTTATGAACCTTCTTTTTAAAGTGATGCCATTTATTTGACATTAAAATGTATTCATTAAGTTTGACTCACTGAGTGTGTTGCTGGCTATTGGCAAACCTGTGCAGCTTAATCAGAGTCACCAATGAAAATCCGTCCAGCACGTGACCTGTCGCA